AATTATTTTCAGAAACCTTGTAGTTGAGTCCATCCCCAGGTTCCTTGAATCAAGGGGTTTAGGGTTGGGGGTTGAGAGTCTTGGGTATAGATTTGGGGGGAAGCCCGAAAACAAAGAACTCCTCAAAATCAGAAACTCACAAAGAGTAACTCCTGAACCCTCAACCCTACTTGGAGGGTCGGGGGGACTGAGTAAGTAGGTTGACAATGAGGATAAAAAGGGCTGCTATATGGTTTATAAGGGTTAATAACCTACTTACTGTATCCCGGGACCCTCCAAGCCTTCAAGTATACCCCTACTGTTGATGGCACACGTCCTGCATTGCAGTGCGCTATAATGTCCCAAATTCCACGGCTTAAGGTACTGAAGGTCTTGCAGAATCCTTCGTATCCAGCTGGATAGCACCCCCTGCATAAGCCCCACTTCCATCTCATTCTCCATCATCTTTTCAATTCGATTGTCCATCAGCGTGGTAATTAATAGCCCTAAACGCTGAGCCCTAAACCCTATATGAGCCATAATGCCACAGTAGTCTAAACTCCTCCTATCCTACTTCATACACCCTTTCATAGGAACTTTATATGGTCCCCCATATAACCCCCTTTAAGGAGCTTAGACTACAGCTCATATATCCTAGATCCTGAGGGGTTCCGCCTTGAACATACAGAAAATCTTCTGCATCCTCGGCGCTCGGGGGTAGCTCTCTTTTGGGTTTAGGGTTTAGGGGGGTTTAGGGTTTAGGGTTTAGGGTTTTGTAGAGTAGAAGGTTGAACTACCGCACTTGCAGAAGTACTATGGACCACTGGGAGGGCTCGGGTTCAGGGGAATTCCATTCGTTAAGCGACTCTTGCACGTCTTCCTATATAACCCCAATATGCTATAGCAGTTTCCATCTTATTTTCCATTATCCCTATATAACCCCGATATACTATAGTAGTTTCCATGTTCTTTTCCATTGTTTTGGGTGACCCTTTTCCATCTGGGCCCCATGGACTGCCAGACCTGGGGCTAGAAAGGTTCCAAACTTCAGGGATGAAGCCTAGGCATGAACATCAACTACTTGGAGGTTCATGGAACTTAGTAGGGTTTAGGGTTTACTGTTTAGGGCTTGAGGTTAGTAAGAACATGTAAGAACTTATACTTATAATTTGGATCACCTCGTACGTTCCCAGGGCTTGTGAATGGGCTTCTAGGCCATAGGGATTTTCCACCAGATAACCTCTGCGCTCATGAGCCCAACTCCTACATGTCATTCCTGGGCCTGAGAGGTACGGTCGTAGAGATGGTCGGCAATCCCTGAATCCTGCAACACTTTGACGAGGATGTCTCCACATGAATCAGATCTGCAACAAATGAAAGATACATCCGCCACCCACATGCACTACGTGTCTTGTCTCCTCCGAAAGAGATGGCAGATTCATCATGCTGATCAGACAGGTACCCCCACATAAGAACCCTGTACTGAGACAGAATACCCTCTGAGTGCCAGAAACACCCATTATTGAGGCAAGCATCGTGACCACACCAGCGGCTGGGATTAACGGCTTGAGGACTTCGGTGGCTGCGTCTTGCACACAGTTCACCTTGCAGTATTGCAATGTGCGGGATGCCCAGAGATGTGAAGGGATTTCGGGGGATGATAGGGGTCCCTGTTGGAGAGTATACAGAAAAGACTTTGACAAACTTCCACCTGAAGTGATTGGCGCTAAAACCCTTAACATCTCACACGGTTCACCACAGGCACAGGGAGAAGATCTTCAATTCAAAGAAATTGGACAGGACAACCTCCGCGCAACTTAAACAACTGAACACTAAATTACTACGCAATGAGACTTGAATCCCCAGACACCCGATGCAATTTGACAGATCCGCCACTAATGGCCACAAAAAGTGAAATCTTTGAATAGAAGCGGGCCCTATGCTTCCTATGATTCTACTATGTTTTGCCCGGGCCACCTAACGTATCGTCGCAAAGCCCAATCTACTCTGCTAACCCTAAACTGAATTCTATACCAAAATCTGTCAGCCCAAATCATTAGGCCCTAATCAGTCCCTAGTCTCAAAACCCTTCATCCTACCTCAATTCCAAAACATATGAGCCATAGTCTAAGCTTCTAGTATGCCCCTTAACAGCCCCTATAACAGTCCCTTGTATCATCCCTTCTAGAAAGCCCCTGTAAGGATCTAAACCCTAAACCTAAACCCGAAATAACCTCTTTCTAACCCCCTTTAAGGAGTCTAGATCCAAAACCCTAAACCCTACAGAATCCGCTATATAGCCCTCTTTAAGCAGCCTAGACTACAGTTCATATGAAGGCCTGCCTCCACAGCAAGTCTGAGGAGCCCTTCCTCACTCTCCTCGCAGGTGGTAACTGGCAGTTTCAAAAAAAATGGGGGGGGGGGTACCCTTTAAAGAAGTCATTGGGGATAGATAGGGTTTGGGGCTCAGTGTGTCCCAAAATTTGGCGGGTACTTTAAAGGGATCATAGGGGAGAGATAGGGTTTTGGGTTTAAAGCTTCCCGAAATTTAGGGGTACCTTTACAAGGGCCATAGGGGATATATAAGGTTTAGGGTTTCCCAAAATTGGGGGGGGCACCTTTTTGGGGGATAAGGAGTAATAATGAACATTTTGGGGTCTACATCGGGGCCTTCCTTTTTTGGAAAGTACCAACTAGATGCGCGAAAACTGCAAAACTACGGTATCCCTGCGTTCATTGGCGTAGCATAACGCGTAGGGATAAATGGATAAAAGGAATCTTAGGTTTCCCTCTTCAGGATTCTGGAGAGGGGTTTATGTATGTTTTAGCTGGACCCCCCACCCAGCACTAGAAACTATAAGGGATAATGAGGATTATATTAGGGTCCTCTTATATTCCTACTATACCACTATTACAGGATGGGGGGTCCTCCTAAGGTATGTTCCTTATTTTGGCTTGTATTGCCAGTACTCAAAGGGTCATGACGCGGCAACCATCAATATTCTTACGCTATACTTTCAGGTCCCGCGAACATCAGCTTTGTCATCAAAACTCCACATATTAACTGGCTTGCAGGGCTTCAGGGTCTAGCTGAAAGCTGACTTCTTCAGACATCAGATACAGCAAACATCCAGGATTTGGGAACGGATGACTAGGTGATTCGCCTGCTTCGCATTCCGGTTGAGGGGCGATGAGCTATGCATCAGTATGGCATGGATGTGAGGTCCAAAGGTGTGGTTACAGGATCACTCGTCACTCGCTGTCTTTCGGGCGTGGCATGCATGGCGGGCAGGCAGGCTGCTTCCTACCCTTAGTGACACACCTGTGAATACTGCCCCTCAATGCCCCCTAAAACCAAAAAACTAAATAGTAGTTTCCATTTCATTTTCAGTTATCCCAATACAACTCCTAATATAACTTGAATATTACCCTAATATTACCCCAATGGGTCACACCAAATAGCTTCAGCCCCAGAGCTTCACTCCTAAACCTTGAAGCCTAAACCTTGGGCACTGCCCCCCCACAGTAAGAGTTGGACAACAGATAGAACATGATTTCATATGATTACATATAGCTCTGAGTATTGCGCCTGTTACACCCAACCTGAACCCCTTGAATCTCAGTTTGAAGTGTGCGCCAAGACCCAGAACCCCCTAAATCGAACCACCTTCCAAGGAGGTAAAGGGCAAGAAACTGAGAGTAGCTTGTTTTTGTGCATGAGAACCCCTTTTTGAGAGCCTCGTCCGGCTTTAACCGGAATGCCCGCCTGCAGCAGCCAGGGATTCTTGCAATACCACACTTTGCCCTAACATGCACCCGGATCGCATCGCTGTGGTCCCCATATACTCATAGGGCCCATGACCATTTCCTCGGTGTCAACAGGTTTAGGGGTGACAGAGCTGATCATAAC